CCGTCATTGGGGATAAGCAAATCATACTAAATTGTACAAATAAGATTTCATACGAATTAGCTAATACCAAAAGTTACAAATTGCCGTGAAATAGCGTTGGATATTTTGTTAACTTTGATGTGCCTTTTTAACTATAAAATATCTTCCATTATCATGATAATATTGTTGCATTACAAAATAAAGTTCAAATTACAAGAGGCAGGAGACGAAGTCACAGAATATAAAAACTAAATTTCAAAAAATGGTTATGACACAAGATTCGAAGTTGCCTTGTTACAATAGCGCAAATTATTTTTAAAACCAAAATGAATAACCAGAAGACGACAGTAGTTGTTAAATTCAAGTTTTAATATCTCTAACTGTGCAATAAATTAACATTTACAGAATAATTTATCAGTCACGTAAGGATTATTTGTATTTGTCATACATCAGCTTGTATATACACACAATTCAAGTGACCTAATGAATGGAGTGAGACAGCAGCATACTGGATTAACTCTACAGAGCATTGTGTATTTACTATGAGGAGAGGTGAGCAATCTGTACAGGTTATGACAAGGAAAAATAGATTTACAGGGTTGGTGGACAAAAACTACAACATCTACATTGAAAAAAAAATTCAGAATAAGTGGGTAGGATGTAAACTTGCAAACAATACTGTACTGTCCACAGCACGGTTTGTTCAAACAGCTAGCATACCACATGTATATCTGCAAAACACAGTTATGTCATTCATCATTCAGTCGCTCTACTGTTGTTTTATTTACTCAACTTGTCTTGTAAAAATCCAGCAGGACCGACGCGCTTGTAAACTTGTAAACATCTTCTGTTTCTTGTCTTTCTGTCAAGACAAGACCCTCTAATATACCCGGACTGACCTAAAATCATAATACAGCTGTCAAAAAGGTCTCAAAAATCAATATAAACAGTACTTTAGATCTGAAATGTATAATAAATTCAACAAATAGATGACCTAGAACGTGATGCTACAAAACAATACCAACTGACAGCCGAATTAAAGCAATATTCCAGATATTGACCTGGAGATGACAGTCAAATACAACATAATCAACAGCATGTGTGTCAAATAACCCAGAACCAAAGAAAAGATGTTGACAAGGCTGTCAGTCTCTTAAATAAAAAAGAAAAAAAAAACAGTGTAAAGTTACACACTTACCAAGAACAAAGAAAGCCTAAACATAGTTCGCCCAAAAAAATTTATTCTGTAATAATTTACTCACTCTTTACTTGTTTTAAACTGTTAGAGATTTCTTTCTCCTGTTGAACACAAGGTGAGTTATTTAGATAAATTTAGAAACCTGTCACCACTGACTTCCATAATATTTTTGTTCTTTATACTAAGTTGAAGTTGGAAGAGTTGTTAGTGAGGCCACCTGCTGTCTGCATGAATCCTAATGCCCCAGTATAGTGAAGGGGACACTATACTGTTAGTGAGTGCCGTCTTACGGATGAGACGATAAACCGAGACGCTTCTTCACAATCCCATGGCACCTCTTAGACAGAGTAGAGGTATAACCTCGATGTCCTAGCCAACTACCATCTATCAGCCCTTATTATGGCCTCCCAATCATCCCCATCCACAGAGTTGGCTCTATCACTGTCTCTTGTCTCTCCACTCCACCAATAGCTAGTGTGTGGTGAGTGTACTGGCGCTGTTGTGCTGTGTTTGCCATCATATCATCCAAGTGGATGCGACACACTGGTGGTGGTGTAGAGAGACCACTCTCATGATTGTGAAGCGCTTTGGGTGTAAGGCCATACACGAGAAATTCGCTATCTAAATACACATTAAAGTACATATGGAATCAATGATTACAGGTTTTCTGCATTCGATAAAATTTCTTCTTGTGTTCATCATAATGGTTTGGAATCATTCGAAAGAGAGTAAATTTAAATTTTTAAAGAAACAGTTCACTGTAAACAAATTATGTGACCATTTACCAGTCCTTCACGGGATTTTGTGATCACTGAATTTATTGCAAAATAAAGCTCAAAATTCTGAGGATCTCACTTTTTTTTCTGAAATACAGCAAATTTTCTGCTAATTCCAGATCTAGATGCTTTTATAATGTCATTGACTACATTTACATGGACATCAGTAGTCAAATTATTTGCTTTAATCTGAATAAGACAATAATATAATAAGGTGTTTACATGAGTTGCTTTTTGAATGTTCCTTTCATGATCCCGTTTTACATGTTATAGCACATAATTCCATTAACGTCATTGTGTCACCACACTTTCCACATTTTCTCCAAAGTTTTACGCAATTTTGGGTGTTTCGTTTTTTAATTTGTCGAATTTAACTGCAGTTTGGCACTTTTACTTTCATTCAGGAACATTTCATTCATGACAAACGAGATATTGGATGAGAGTATGAACTGCTGGAAGAGTGTTGTTTTAATGGAATATTGCACACTGTATGGGGAAAACAAACTCTGCATTTTGCATGCGGGTGTATGTGATCCTTCACTGACTCGTTAGGTGCAGAGAATCGTGTCAAACGGTGTGTGTATAGACCATCCTGTTGCAAAATGCGACGAAAATCCTACAGAATGGTAGTAGTTTGATTAAAATGTTTACATGTATGTACTGCACTTCAATAATGTGACTAAAATCGGCACACTCCACAAGTCATCAGCACTTAAGATTAAATTAATCAAAAATCGCTGTTTTCATGGTAGAATCTTAATCAGGGTATTGTCTTAATCGTATTAAAATCAGATTATTGGAATCCAATGTAAACATACTCATTGTGACATGCCTTTACTCAAAGAAAATCCAGTTGAAGCACACATCGCGTGCTGAACATAAGTTACATTTTCACTAAGTAACAATTTCCAACAACCTTTACTTCAAAAGGCCACATAAAACAATATCAACACATTTAAAGGGGCAACCCCAATGCGCACATACGTAGATGTTATGGTATGTTGTAACACAGTTGTGAGTACTGCATTCCAGGCAACCCTTTATTGAGATTTTTTCCTACTTTATACATAACAATAAATTTCTAGAATGCAGCTAGAATAACAAATTGAGGTTGGGTGTTAAACATTTTACTGCTGAAATTCCCAGTTCCAATTGTGTCAAGAATGCAGCATTTAAATTGCTGCAAATCAGCACAAAAAAGCCACGAATGTTGGTGCACATTTGATGAAAAGCTGAACCAAAAACATACAAAAATCTCACAAAATCCTGGAGGCACTGATTTACCCATGCTCCACTTTTTTCTATTCAACATAAAATATCTTGAATGATTTCTACCAGTTTTTATTCTTCATAAATCTTCTTTTGTAAAAAAAAAAAAAAAAAAAAAAGTTTAAAACCACTTGAGAGTGAGTAAAGTTTCATTTTTGGGTGAACTATGCCTTTAAAAGCTCCAAAGTGAGAGTAACTCACAGAGGTGAGTTACATCTCGTGTTCAATCCATTTCTCATTTGTGTTGCTTTTCCCTTTCTTTGTGTGAAGTGTCTTTTTCTCCTGTCCCTTGACCGACTGGGAAACAGCAACCGAGAAAAGACAAGATCAGAGCGTGAGAACTACAAATCCCTGTGGACTGCCTAAAATACCACTTCAACCCCCTCCTTATTGTTATTCATTAATTTGCAGAGAACATCTGAACCCCTTCTGCTGTAGTGCAGTGTTACAATAATGCCACATCAATCAGCGTAAGTGTGTTAATGCTCGATTATTCTCCATCTGAAAATGGATTCATTATAATACTTCTAAATCTTATGCTGCATTCATGCCTTGTCATAATTAGCATAATTTTAGATGAAACATGTGATGTACTTTTAGGAGCTGTGTTTGAAAATTATGTGTTCCCCATTTTTTATCTGCGTGGTACAGGTTTGTAGCTCTCAAAAAAACTAAAAGATGTGATTATAAACTGTATGAAAATGTGAACTCTTATTATAAGCTGGAGTCTCATAATTACGGTTATTATAACATGGCATGAACATACCTTTGGTCAGCATCCCTGGAGAAGCTTTCCTTTCATTTGAACGATGTGCTGAGTCGGGTTGGTATGGAAGCCTGTTTCCACTCTTTTAAAAATAGCAGTTTTATACAAAATGGCAACTGACTCAAGTTTAAATTTAATAATGAATTTTTCCAATTAATTATGTTCCAATTAAAATAAATCATAATAACATATATATTATACATACATCAGACTAAAAATGGCTTTACTATACACATTCGTCCCATTTGTGTTGCATTGACAAGGTACATAATATTAGACCTGTCACAAAAATCAATATATCGTTGAATATTTTGGGATGACCTCAATAAATTTTGCCATTGCAATTTAAAGTCACCGGCCACTTTATTAGGTACATCTTTGTAGTACCACGTTGGACCCTCTTTTGCCTTCAGAACTTTTAGCACATATTGACATGATAGCATCAAGCAGTTGCTGCAGATTTGTTGGCTGCAAATTCATGATGCCAATCTCCTGTTCCACCACATCCCAAAGGTGCTCTGTTGGATTGATATCTGGTGACTGTGGAGGCCATTTGAGTACAGTAAACTCATCGTCATGTTCAAGAAACCAGTCTGAAATTGAGACTCATCAGGCCAGGCAACGTTTTCGCAATCTTCTATTGTCTAATTTTGGTGAGACTGTGCGAATTGTAGTCTCAGTTTCCTGTTCTTAGCTGACAGAAGTGGCACCTGGTGTGGTCTTCTGCTGCTGTAGCCCATCTGATTAAAGGTTAATCGTGTTGTGCATTCAGAGATGCTCTTCTCCATATCTCGGTTGCTGAGTTACTGTTGCCTTTCTACCAGCTCAAACCAGTCTGGTCATTCTCCTCTGACCTCTGTCATCAACAAGGCATTTGTGCCCACAAAACTGCTGCTGGATATTTTCTCTTTTTCGAACCATTCTCTGTAAACTCTAGAGATGGTTGTGTGTGAAAATCCCAGTAGATCAGCACTTTCAGAAATACTCAGATCGGGCTGTCTGGCACCAACAACCCAATTCTGATGCTTGTTTTGAAGTGCAGCAGATCGTCTTGACCATGTCTACATACCTAAATGCATTGAGTTGCTGCCATGTAATTGGCTGATTAGAAATTTGCTTTAACAAGTAATTGGATAGTGAAAAAGTGGCCGATGAGTTTATATTTATTTACAAATTCACAAATACTTTAAAATCACTTTAAAGCCATTTTAAAATCACATTTACATTCTACCTCAGTGGTGTTAAAGTTTATTATTGTACATTTACCTAAAAAGGTACATGTCCTATTAACATCAAATTATAGAATCTAAATAACCTTAAGAATGTTAGGTATTTTAAAGAGTTTATGAATCAAATCAATTATTAATCAAAATTAATTGGAAAAATGTATTAGTTAAACTTTTTATTCAATAATCATAAATGAATGAAACAGATGTAAAGTTGATTTTCTTTTTTTATAATAGATCACAATTACTGAAAAAATTATAATTTCTAGGTTACATTTTTTTATATTTTTAAACTGAACTTTAAAATTATATGAACTTCAGAAATTATGTGCAATTGTCAGCAAATTGAATATACGATAGAGAGTTTTTGGGAAGGTGCTTTTTTCTCAAAAATTAAGGCTCGGTGACTATAATAATACAACAATGATAAAAAAACAAACCACTAAAAACCATTCTAGAAATCAAAGTAGAGCATATTCCACAAATATAACAATAACAGAACAGAAAAACAAAAAAAAAAAAACATTTGGATGAATGTTAATAGTTATAATTAAAGTTATTGTTAGGGTTATTTTTGAAAAATTATTCTAAGAATCTTTAATTTTATTCCTTGGACATTTAACATTACATCTCACAATGGGACTTTAAGTCTGACAATGCAAGTTAAAATGTCACTTCCTAATTTATATTTTCCTAATTTAATTTCCTAATTTAAATCTGATTTTTTTTATACTCTCTGGTAGAAACAGGCTTCCATAGACAGCACTCTTAAAAATGGATCATGCCATTTTTATCAGCATTCTCCAATCTTAAATTAAAGGGCAGCAATAATGAAGCCATTCATAAGTTAATTTCCTAAAAATTGTTTGAGCATCCCAACCAATCGAACAAAGCAACCTTGGCTCAACCAATGGGCATATGCTTGGAAGTGGAGCCATCTGTCCAATTAAACAATCCAATTGTTAAGTCTGGCATCACATGTCACAGTTTCAGGGTCCAACACTCTATCAGGCTATTCGGGGAAACCTTTATTTATTAATATCCATAATTTTGTTTGTTTTTATCCATGCCTGATATCAGATGGTCAGAGAGATACATTTTTAATTAATCATTAAAGTATTGATGTCTGGGAGTGCAGCAAACATCCCGATTTTGTAAAAAAAAAATTATTGAATGTAGGATATGACCAAACAATGATAATTTTTTCTCGATTTAAATGAGCAGAGGATTGAACCAGGAAACAGTATTCCACATATCATGACTTAACAAATGGATTGCAGATGGAATGTGTTTTGAGAGATTCAAAATATTTTTTTCCAACTCCATTTAATGCCACAATTGCATCAAAGAAAATGCAGAGCATTTTTTAGCCGATTCATTTGTAGTCGGTTAAGAAACTAGCCTGGAAGCCTGCGGGCAAGCTTTACCCCTCCAAAAGCAGTAGGGTGGAGTAACAGGCAACTCTAATTCCCTCACAAACTAACACTTCTGTGGTGCTGCTTCACAAAGCTCTCTCGCTCTCTATCTCTCTGCTGCCTGTCCGTCCCTGAGGCGCCTTTCTCTGCATCCTGTCTCGAGAGGTTTGCCACCTCCCTCACGACTATTCTATCTTCAACCCGAAATCCTCTCTCGCTTTCAGCCTCCTTCTCCTCGCCTATTATACTGCCGACGTCGCTCAAGTTGCCCAGATGCTCCACAGAATCAAACTTCTCCAAATCAGAGGCTATGGTTTGCAGACTGATGACTGACATGGAGTCTGACCCCGCCCTCTCTGCTCTCTCTCTTTGGCCCCACCCCGCCTCCCTGTGTTTCTCCACCCACTGCCTGGTTTTCTCTTGATCCGCCCAATCGTTATCCATTAAAGGATTAGCCACCACCCCTGCATAAGCCCCGGCTTGGATCACGCCCTCAGACTCTGCCCCTACTGGAGAGCTCCGCCCACCCCGGGCTCGGTTGCGCTCTCTGGCGGCCCGGATGCGCCCCCTTTGCGCATGGATCTGCTCACTGATTTGCTCGAGGTTGCGGAGGGCAACTGAATATCTGGTCTTCACCTTCGCCACCCGTTCCTCCAACAGGACCACTTTGGACTTGTGCTCCTGTTTATGAGTGGTGATAAACATGGCATGGTAGATTAAAAAACAAAAACAAGGAATTGTTAATTTCATGCACCAATTTTTTTACAATACTATAGTAAGTAAATCAATAGTGTAAGGTTGCACCAGCTTATCGTAACTTCTTGCTTACACAGTAATGCAAGACTTACTAGTTAGTTTGTAACTACATTTGTTCTTACTTGAGTTGTACCATGTTCTTAGGGCAGAACATGGTTAGTAGGTTGTAATGGCTCCTTAAAGAATTGCGTATTCGCATCGAATGGTATAAAACTCAATCAGAGGTCTTTAAATTGTTTAACGGCTATAAAATAATTCTGAATTATAGATGTTGCTTCAAGCAACCACACTATACCGTCTAAATGTGCGGGGGAAATTACCTTACAGTTAGTCCCTAAGAAAAGACGACGCACCTGCCTGCATCAGGAGCCATGAATGTGCATAAAAATAAACATGAAGTTATCAAAACAATAAACTTTAAATAATTTAAATAGTCTACATATGAAAGAGAAAATCATAGGGAGGAAAAACTCATGATGTCATAACAAAATTCTCATTGTAATTGATAGATATATAATACACACACCATGAAAGGAAATTAAACCCTTCTTTCACAAACACAAAATGAAAAAAGTTTTTTTAAAAATTGTGACCAACTCAGCTAACATGGTGGAGAGATTGTAAGGCAGATGTTTTGAAATCTTGTCTGTTTTGTCAGTTTGTACCTGCTCAGTTGTACATGCTCATATACATATATTTCCTTTCTTCAAAAAATAGGGAATATTTACTGGGAACTATTGTTCAATGGCGGAAGCAGACAACATTTTGCTGCAACATTTCAAACAGACAGAAAGAAAAATAACCACGCGGCTGTTTTGACGCAGGTAAAAGTGTCTTACATCTGTGTGCATTTTCAGTTGTTTTACTGTGGATGATTTTTTTTTATATAGTGTGGACATGAAGCATTTTCAGATGAAAAAGCCATTTTCAAATTTATCCGGATTAATGTAGACTAGCCTAAATATAGTACTGTTAAAACTATTTAGTAATGACTGGGCCTACATGGAATCTGCACGCACAGATTTCTGCAGAACCCATCATTGAGTCTATTTATTTAATTGTGCAAGTGTGTGTAAATTTATATTTATTCAGTTTTTAAATACATTTAAGTAATATTATTGTATAATATGAAAGTGTTTATTTAATTTATTTACGTGACAGTTTACCAAATAAGTGGATCAATTTGCATTGTAAACATTAAATAAAAATTTAAAAACTATAATTGTTTATTTTACATTTTTCGTTTTTAGTTACGATACTCCCAGAATATTTCTGCATAAATCTGCAGATTTTTTACAAAATCATCTGCAAAAATAGCAAAAAATTCTGTTTGGCCTAATTAATTTTATTTAATAATATTTAGGTATATCTACCCACTAATATTGAAATCCATAATCTATACAAAAAAAAGGTTGTATGGGTAAACAAATTACATTACAAAGTTTGTATTTCAAAAGAATTTAATTTTATTACATACTTTCTCTATTACTTTGGATTTGTTTTATTGTTTTCGTAAATTGTTGCTTTATTATGTATTACTGACTGTTGATATTAAGTAAATGTTTACAAAGGTCAAAAAAAATTTATAAAGTAACAATATCACAGAACTAAACAAAAAACAAACTCATGTGAACAAAGTTGACTTTAACATTTTAAATCAGGATAAATGATCAAAACAACCCATTTTATTTTTGGAAAGTTGAGAGTGTCAAAATCAGACAGGAAATTGATTAAAAAAAAATATAGTAGGCCAGAACAATTTAGTTTAACTTTTAACTTTATTAAATTCACTAAAAACTAAACTGTATAGTTTGTTTGCAACAAGTTTCTGTTCATACTACTCATCTCAAGCTTATATTTAAGAGAGAACTTTGTGCTTTTTATAGCAGAATCGTGTTTTTCACTTGTTCTATACCCAAACCATAGTCTCAGTTTGTTCCATTTGTTGCTTTATTCTGTATTGTATTACTGACTGGCGATTGCCTTAACTTTTCAATTTACCACAGCATTTATCAGTCTCAGTAACACAATCATCAGTAACAAAAGAATAAAAACAACTAAACAAAAAGTCCCATTACAAAAGTAAAACTTATTGTTCAAGTGCTGACATAGGGTGAACACTACCTTGAGTTTTCAATTTAATTCCCCATTTCAAGTCAACACGAATTGTCCGAGGAAGCCATTTCACTTTGTAATGTGTTGTATTTCAAAGTCAGACAGCACTACTGAATGAGAAAACAGTAGGACTGAACGTTTCCCTTTTAACTTTGTTAAACACTAAAAAACTCAAATGAATAAATTATACGCCACAAGTGAAGTTTCTATTCATTTCCCAGCCCACCTCTAGTTTGCATTTCATAAAGCTCTCCATTTCGTTACTTAAATCAATACAGCCATCAGTCCTTGAATACCTTTGTAGCTGATGCATACCTCTAAGATGTGGTTGAACTGCGCCTTGAGCTCAAAATAAGGCTTGGACTTGATAATGACCCTCTTCAGAGCTTTCTGCAAGGTTTGCACGCGCGCTTCTGCTTCTTGACAAAGCTGAGTGACTCGCTGGTGCTCCCTCTCGCTCCTCAAACGCTCTTCCTCCGCCTCGTTCACCTGAAAACAGCATCACGGCAGAGGTCAAATCCATGTAATCAAAGACATGTAATTCAATTCATTCTCGTATCTTTCAGCATCATTCGTGCAAAGACGTGACAGGTCAATATGGCATAACCCTGCGAGTAATGGAGTGTTCTTTAAGAGCTTGAAGAAATTTAGATTACTCTTACTTTTTCTTTCTTTCTAAAGGACAGGTAATATTTAGGAATGTCAGAGGTTTAGCACTTCAGTACCATTAGCTGCTGCTTCCATTCAACTATTTTTATGCACATTTTAGTGTATTGCGTAAATGGAAAATTGGTAGTGTGTGCATATTTTTGAAAAAAATGTATATTAAAAATGTCAGTGCTCAAATGATATGCATATGATCTATGATGGAAATGCAATTATGGAATAAATTCCTTTATACGATAGTTCCATCTGGTTCTTGAATCTGATTGGATCTGAATGTACTTTTGAGGCTTTTTCAGACGAGAATGTAGTTGTTTAGATTGCAACTACACAGTTTTTTTATAAGGGTGTGCATGTTTTAAATATTTATCATTCTGGTGATACAGTCCATCAGCGCCATCAGCCTATCAATGAGCAGAAAAAAAGATAGTTGAAGTTGTCCATTGACAAGATGGCAACAGAGACCACATAATAAGCTCATAATAAGAAAAAAAACTCGTAATTTCAAACTACAGCTGAACAAAATTTTATAAATCTAGTAAGTGACGTTCTAAGGATATTCAAAGTCAATCTCTCTTGTTTGTATGTTGTGGTGCTATTAATAGTAGTATAGTAGAAGTATTTATACCATAGTAATTGTAGTTAATTGTACGGTGCCCGAGAGAGATTAATGCGCTTCAATTTAAAAAAGCACATGCAATTTCAAAGAACACCAGAAAATAAACAAACAATCTTCATCAATTTGACAGAACACCTGTTGCAAATTCTCACAACACAAACAACTGATGCACAGCAATTGGTCATAACACAAACAACTGAAGAATTGTGCAGCAATTAGTCACAACACTTGCAAATAATCATGTAACACAACGGAAATGTTTCTAATTGCTGTTGTTGTAATTGCTCTCTCGGCCACAATAGTTTACACTGTAAAAAATTAATCTTGAGGCTTGTAATTTTCATTAAAAAAATGTATGTGGTCATTAAAATTAATGGTCATATTTTATTTTCAAAATTGATATTCTGGATTTATTAAGAAATATTGAGAATATTTTGCTAATAAAATCAAGAGATAACGTTCACTTATGTTTTTTTAGGAAACCATTGCAATTATAAGGCTTAATTTGAGAAACCAGCTAAGCTAATAAAATTGAGGAAAGATGGCTTCACGTTTATTTAAAGAAAATTGACTCAATTATGTGGATTTGATTGAGATTTTTGCATTTGAATCTCAACAACGGCAGTGACCAGACAACATTTTGAAGGAGCTGATCAACAGTAACCATGCTAAGAGGTAAGCCTAAACAGTTTATAATTTTTATTGTCTTGAATAAGCTCTTTTAGGAAAGAGACTTTCTGTTCAAGCTTGTTCAGGAGCCTAGTTTGATCAGAAAACATTTAAGCGGGGTGGACAAACAACAGTGAACTTGTTGGTTAGCCTAAGCTAGTGTGTTAGCTATATAGCTATTCAATGGAGTTTATGCACAGCTAGTGTTTTTCCATTTCATAAGGTTTCTTTTACAGCATTGATGATGTAATGCAATTACCTGTTTTTATATAATACTGTAATGTAAAACTGTTTTTATATAATACTGTTTAGAAATACTAATATTTGTTTGCTTTTTTTTTTAGAATAATGAAGAAACTTTTTACATAATTTTCCTACAAAAGAGGAGCAGTTTATAGCTGCCATACAGCAGGTATTTTTATCATGTTGTTTGTGTATTATTATTATTATTATTATTATTATTATTATTAGGCAATATTACTAATTTCTACACTTTTGTTGCATCAGACCTTACATTAAATCAGGGAGGAGATGAGCAATGTCGTCTTCTGTTGCTGGTGTATTTGTATGAAAAAGAGGAAGAGCTCATCCAGGAGCGCAAAGTGTCTCAAACTGTTTCAGATATTTATAGTTTTCTGAAAACTGCCTTTTATATTTTTGCATTTTTCAAAAAACAAAAAATATAACACAAACACTACATTGTTGAATGCACTATTCCTTGTATTAATATGGTTTGTTTTTATAAACTTATATCTTTGTACCCTAGTATACATTTTAAAAAACACCCTGTTCATTATTAGTCAAAATACTGGTGTACTTGTGTTATAGTGTCAGTCAGCAATGTCTTCTCAAACATTTTGGAGGATTACTGTTCACAGAGATACAAAGAAATGGTTTATTTCCTTAATGTATTTCCTTAATGTGTTTTAGTAAACCTTAAACATTTGAAATTTACATTTGCATAATTTCAATTTCATAAGGAATGCATGGAGAATTGCTGTCTGCCAGAGGGATGACCAACCATGAGGACTTCTGCATTGTCTTGGAGGATGAGTGAGTCATGGCTGGCTTGGAAAATCTAGAATTGCTGAACTGGATTTATACTTGTATTTCCCAAATTAAAATCACCCAAAAACAAACTTATAATAAGTTCCTGACACAAATTCACTGTTGCAAACTTTGGTGGAATTTGCACTGGATTGACTGATTGTGTTGCTATTATTTTGAGATACAGCTTTTATAATGGTTTTATATGTTGTGCAATTCTGTCATATTTTGTCTAAAATGTGACTATTACTACAAAAGAAAGTTGACAGAACATTTTTTCCATGACATGGATAAAGGCCTTTTTTTCAAAGCTTAACATTGCTGTAAATTTTAAATAGATTTGTTTAACAAATTGTATGTACCATTTTGTTATCAGTGGAACATGTAATAAAATGATATTTGGCAAAAATGCATTTTGTATGTATTTCATTAGAAATTATATATATTATATTTCATGAATGAATATTTTTTTTATAGATATGAGTAAAAGGTGGTTAATATGCTTAAATTATAAAAGATTATTCCACTAATAATATTAAAATCATCATCTATCACTCAAAAAAACCTAGTAATTTTCACATGATTCTTTAAAGTAGTTTTTGCTAAAAAAAAATAAATATGAGTAAATTGTGGTGGATTTGCTTAAATTATAAAAGCACATTCCGCGAATAATATTAAAATCCTCATCTAACACTCATAAAATTTAGTAATTTTTTACATGATTCATTTTTTTTTTTTTGTGTTTTTGCTAAAAAAAATAAAGTTTTCAAACTACTTAAAAATAATACGTGCATTAGTGTTACCAGTATTTTTTACAAAAATAGCACATAAGACTTTTTACAGATGGGACTCATTTCAGGAATGTATGTATTTTGTGTTAGCCACTTTTTGTATAACCCTGAGTTACTTGTTGGTTGGCCATCTGTTTGTTTCTAAGGAGTCTCTTGTTTTCCCGATATAGAGCCATAACGCACTGCTACTTGTGTGATGTTGCTCATTTATGGATGTCTAATAAAACAAAAAAATCATGTGATTTTGCCATAACAAATGATATCACTGGATAAAGCAGCACTCTATTTACTTGACAATGTTCTTTCTGCAGTTTGTTTTTATCTTTTTTTCTATTTTCCATTAAGGGTCATTTTGTTTCTTTTCCTATATTTTGATGACTGACTATTTACTTCAATCAAAAGCCATCATGAGTTGCCAGAACAATCCCATTTCTGTAATATGATATATTTTGAGACGAAACAGGATACTGTATGAGAAAAATAGTAGCAGAGGATTTCATTTGTAGGTTTATATAAAACTCAATGGATTGTTAAAAATGGGCATTAGAAACCACACTAGAGAAAAACAGGTATTTGGTTACCGTGATGTAGTGAGTAGCATCACTACAAATGTTTTATTCTGCGGAATTACATGGAATCATTCATAATGAGAGCAAGAAAATATTGTATTTGTTCTGTTGTGTTTTGTTCTGTTGTTCTATGTAATTTTACGTTGTTGTTTTTAATTCCATTTTGATGAATGGTTCATTTAAAAACAAGCACTTACCTAATATCAATCTTTGTTCACTTTATCATACTCTACTGTGTGGAATTTAAAAGAAAGCAAATTATGGATTATGTAGTAGTAGGAATTTATTTGCAAATTTAAAAATTTGTCTTTTGTTTTTATTGATTGATCAAATTAGATTGGTCGCTGATTTATTTAAAAAAAACTCAATTCTCAACTCAAAAATCAATTTCTAACTTTGTTTCTGCTTATATTTCATGCAATCGGTTTCTCTACTTTGTTATTTTTAATTGAAAAATTTAAAAACTATTCCTTGTTATTTGTCTACACTTAAATCTATTACTGACTATTTATAAAATGATTACTAGAAAAATGTATGCATGGTCAACCTAATTTGAATCCTTATTTTATTGGTAATCTTTACAAAGTGATTTGTTTCTTTTAGGCATGAGACTGGTTTCAAGGTTTACCACAGAATGGAAAAGGTTTTAAAACTGCTAATATTTTTGTTATACCATTTCTACGGTATATGCAAGCTATTGTATTGTTGTTTTTTCACATGTTTGTTACAAGTATTTTATTTAAGTTTTTTTAGGGAACCACTATCTCCAGCAGAAATGCACCCTCCACATTAAAAGCTCCAGGTCAGCCCACGACTCAGAAAACATCTGAAAAGCAAATCGCTTAAAAACCAACATCCAGCATGCTGTAGAGCTGAACCGTGCAGTGGCTTTACTTTTTACCCACAGAAAAGAAAGATACCCAAAAATGCCTTTGTAAAGAAATCTGTTTTTGGAACTAATGAAGACTGCAGCAGTCAATGATTTATTTGAATTATTTAACTTGGCATGTTTACTGTTTCAAAATATTTTAAATGTTTCTAAAAATAAAATGTGTTGTGTTCAGTGGGGAAAACCTTGTTGCTTTCTACACGGACATTTAAAAGGAACTTATTTTAAAGCCGTGATCACAA